GCAATTTAGACCAGGGTATGGAAATTTAGACCAGGGTATGGCAATTTAGATCAGGGTATGGCAATGTAGACCAGGGTATGGCAATTTAGATCAGGGTATGGCAATTTAGATCAGGGTATGGCAATTTAGACCAGGGTATGGCAATTTAGACCAGGGTATGGCAATTTAGATCAGGGTATGGTGATTTAGACCAGGGTATGGCAATTTAGACCAGGGTATGGCAATTTTGACCAGGTTATGGCAATTTAGACCAGGGTACGTTAATTTAGACCAGGGTATGGCAATCTAGACCAGGGTATGGCAATTTAGACCAGGATATGGCAATTTAGACGGGGTATGACAATCTAGACCAGGGTATGACAATTTAGACCAGGGTATGGCAATTTAGACAGGGTATGACAATCTTGACCAGGGTATGGCAATCTAGACCAAGACCAGGGTATGGCAATTTAGACAGGGTATGGTAATCTAGACCAGGGTATGGCAATTTAGACATTGTATGGTAATCTAGACCAGGGTATGGCAAATTAGACCAGGGTATGGCAAAGTGATCTAGACCACTGGCAGTCAAGGACAGAACTCAAGCTGCCGATAAATATGCAAGGTCGCATTGTCCGACACCTGCAAAAAGGTCGATTAAGTGTAATAATCATTGTTAAATATTATTTCAGTTGATAACAATTTTTCGACGATGAGTACTGTTAGATTTTGAACCGTCGAAATCTTCTCTAGGTATGTAAACTTCAATTCTTATATTTTTTACCCACTGTCAGTGAAAATTGCCTCTTTTATTTCTTAATCATTTCTCTATCATTCACACATAATGCAGATTAATTAAGATACACTGACTCAATAATATATCAAAAACTATAGTGCTGCTCATCAATGCTACTACACTTCTCGTTTCGGGTCACCGCCATGTAAAGTTCTACTTCATTTGTTGGCCGGCAAAGGAAGAAGAAATACCTCGGAATCATTGAAAGAAAACGATGCTTTCTGAGAAAATTTTATATGAAGGGAAACTGAAAAAGACATCATACACACACACCTTGGGGCAGTTGGGATGGGAGAATGGCCTAAATTAGACTGAGAAAACATCTAGTCATTAGCACCATTAAACCATTTGTACTGAACCACTGAAAATATGTCTACTCATACCTTATAAATCATAACTGGCAGAGTCAATTCTGTTCACGTTAGGGGTCAAATGACTGTCTGCTAGACTGCGTCCTCCAGAGCAAAGTAAAAAAGGCTAGATGCTTGTAAGTTGTAGGTATAGGGACCCTGTTAGTCGTTCGCAAATATATACTGTAATTAGCTTGAGCGAAAATTTCCACTCTAATTGTTCCTTTATTACAGACGTCTTGGTCGGAAGCAGGTAGTCATGTGGTGACTCGAATTCACAACTAGCACTATAATTTCTTGCGAACGTAATAACTATTTTTATTAAATCCTCTAGCTCGTTGAACACCATTTTTGCAGCTTAACGTAACCTTATTAGCTAAAATTCACCTGGTTACTTCAATGTTCACTTATATTCAATTGTAAAATGACAAATGAAAAATATTTTCAATTTTCAAGCATAAGCATCTAATTTTGAATAATGAAATTCTGTTAACGACAAAAATAGTCCTATACGTATTCTGTTTTGCATCGGGCAACAGTAGCCAGTCATGCCTTAGCTTCAGTTTTCTGGCCAACCTCGATGCATGAACAACTACTAGAAGTAAGCTGACAATCAAACCTTTGGAATTAAATTCAGATGACTGCGATTAAATAGTGTCACCCTATGATAATTGCATTACTATTTGTATTTCAAACATTATTTTGATATTATGGATATTACATTTTGTTCATGTCATGTCTGTATCTAAACGACTACCAATACGCAGGTGTTGGTCGGCGGCATCATTGTTCAAGCCATCAATAAACATATTGAATCCTAATATTCTTTACTCCAACCTAGATAATACATACTTACACTAGTTAATTAGAAGAGCTGTACGGCTGTTTGTTACTTCTACGTAAATCCAATACCAAACCCTTCAGAACCCTCGTTCATCATTCCTTCCTGGGGGCGATATCACAGCATCGGCGCAGTGCATCCATTGCTGCTTCCAATACTCAAAACTCAAGAGACTCTTCGTTAAATGAAATTTTTACACAACGTTAAGTAAATCCATTGAGAGTACGGATCAGCAAAAACTTGTTGCTAAGCCCGTTGATATTTTAGAAAACTCAGAGACTTGATCTATAGGCATTTGAACGTCACGTGATTTGGTGAGCAAATTAAGTAATCTTCGTGGAACACAGGGTGAATATTTGACGCAGTCCGACAAAATTGTCAAGAGTCCTAACGATATTTTCGATTACTTTGTCGGAAATTAGAGTAGTTTTAAAGTTAGTTGATTTTGTGGGTCATTTATTTAGATCATGCTGACCTAAAGAACGAATAGATTAAGTTTATGGCAATGCTATGTATATAAGGCACTGGTTTATCACAGTTAAAAGCACTTGTTTCAAATTTTTTTCTTTTAATTCGAACGCTGCGTGTGATAAGTGTTCATTACCAAACCGTTAAAAATTAACTTTTACACACTGATGATCAACTAAACGTGAAATTAAGCTATAAATTCCAGTCGTATAATACTGTTTAGTTAGTGCTCATTAAAGGAGACTCGCGTCTTCAAAAAGTGCGGAACACAAAAAACTCACCTATAAATTCCGCGGCTTTTTTACATTCCCTCATATTAGGTGCAGGTTCTCGGTTCTAACAAACAAAAGTAGCGAATTTACCCAAGAAATATCAATAATTACAATATAACTACGTATTTCACCGACTATCAAGACTTTCTAAGATTCATTCGCGATTAAGCGCAGCTGTGCAGGAGAAATGGTACAGCACGAGCTGCAGAAAGAGGAAGATTCTGAAGATTAATTAGGCTTCATTCACACCACACTACCGAACACGTGTCAGTCACGGTCCAGTCCATTATTCTTTAATACATTTCTATAGAACCATTCACACCAGCCGTGCAAGGCACCGGCCATGCAAGGCCCGGTCCAGCCATAATCAAAGCAAAAAATATTTTGACCGGGACGTGTCTGGTATGGTATGCAAGAAACTGAAAGGACGAAAATTGTCACGTTCATTTCAACGTGTAAAAATAGTATCAATATATCGTCGACCGAGGAGCTCGAGATAGTAACTTTAAACTGTAGAGTAAATATAATGTTAAATGTGTATCGTAGCATGCAAATTATCGACTTGTCTGCTAATTCCGGAAAATTCAAGTCCGGCAGCACCCACGCAGTCGATGCGCGCGCAGTTGAAGTTGGGATCAGCAACGAGGGAAGCTCTGCCAAATTTATTTCCGTGTTTATAAGTGTTATATGTGAAATATGTGCATTTACTGGATGATTGAGTTTTTTATGAGTGGAAAAAAACTGTTTGTGGGAATAGCAGTGATTATTTTCATTCCTGAACTGTTATGTGAAGTTGTATGTCACTTAGTCCGCATGGGCGCCTCTAAGCCAGCGGCATGCCACAGAATGTCTGTTATATTTAAACTTGTTCAATCCATTAATTTGATTTGAATCAACTAAGAAATTCAACTCACAGCGATAATTGTCGTAAACTAGATCTAGTAGTTTCTGTTTTGCCCTAAAAATAGAATTCTTGTGAAAATGCTTAATAATTGCTAGTTGCTACAGATGATCATTTTAACCACCGTAAATTGAGTTAGCTTCCTTTTGTTTAAAGCCAATGCGCCAATAAAGTATGCTTGGTTGTACGAGAATATCGTCGATTTGAGAATGAATGAGATTGTCAAAAAACTGCCGTGCTGGGAAGTGAAATGGGATAGATTCAGTCTAAATATTGTATCCATATTTTGCAGGCATCGTAAGAAAAGCTATTCGCTAGAAAAGCATTGAAGAATTGAAGTCCACGTTCGTCTTTCTAGAGCCTTAAAGACCGTAAGTTAAAAAACCTGCGAATTTACCCCGTGTCATGTTAATTACCGTGATCAGCCAGTTTGGAAACTAGGCCAGTAACCTAGCAGTAGTTAATTACCATTAGCCGTCAGCCTGTATGTAAAGCTGTCAGTAACTTAGTACTCTAGCAGTAGCCTGCTTCTGCCAGATCCTCATAAGATCATTTTTGTTATTGCTAATATTGAATACCGTAATTGAATCTGTCGGAATCATTTGTGGTCGGCTACATGTGATCGCTCTACCTTTCATTATTGCCCACTCCGTTCTATGTGCCTTATAAGTTGCTATAAGCTATGTATTCAGTTAGGGTCATGAGACAGACCGATGAGATTAATTAGATTAAGTAGAGTACGAGCCTGAAATTAGGCAGCTCCCTTCTGGAGCTGTGTTCATAAAATCAATTATCATGATATATGATCATGGTCTTTGTATTTCGATTTAAAGCAGCTCCCTTCTGGAGCTGCGTCTATTAGACTTATTATCATTCTAGGATCTCTGTTTCTTGTATGTCCACACTCTTTTAGAATCCTGTGCGTGTAGGTTTTGACGCCGAAATATAAGGAAACAAGGATCAAGTCTGCCGACTTATTACCCCCTTATTAAATCGTGCGTCACAAAGCTCCCGGACTAACATAATTACTCCGAGAGCGGAACAAAAATTTTACGAAAGGAACTGAAGTGGAGAGGACGGCCGGTGACCTGACTGAACATGTGAATACACGTAGTGGCTGAGAACGGACCGCGACTGGCATATGCCCGGCATGTGTCAAGCAGTATAATGTGCATCAAGCCTAATGTTGCATTAAATCATCTATTTTAGTAATTTTCACCTTCTTATGAACTTGTCGTTCATTTGCTTCATTTTTATTAATGAGGTCTTCTCTGTCTGTTTATTTTTTTCTGAAACGTTTCCTTGTTTGCCGAAAGTTTTATTTCTTCAACCTAGCATCTGTAAGGTCTACTGGTGCAGTACGATGGCGAAAATGCAATGAAAATACCACCATAGATAAAAACTTCTTTTAACATTTCATGACAGTTATAAACTTATAACAAACAACAACATTCACAAACAACCTGCGGGAATGACAGCTTTTCTAATACACTCAGAGGACGAGGACACTTAAGAATCTTCCACAAAACAAACAGAAACTTTTAGACGATCGCAACATGAAACAATAAAATATGTTAATCATTAACAAAAACACAAAAATAAATTCTTCAGAGAGTTGGTCAATAAAAATCTGAGATAATTTGAATGGATCAAAATCATATTGTCTTACATTGGAACAAAAAAAATGGAGCTGAATTGAATTGAGTGCAGCAAATCAACATTAATTAAAAGTAAGCCCGTTTCGCTCGGTCCTATCTGCCGTGAAAATGCGGCATACGACTAATTAACAGCATGAACAACCGGTGGTGCATAGCATGAGCTATTTAAATCAGTTATATTTAATAAATTAATCGTTAATGCTCCTTGTGATACTGGTTAACTTTGTCATTGTTCTCCTTACGTGCGCGGCAAAAAGGTACTACAACCGTAATATTATGTAATTTCATGACTTATTTTTTTGATGGGAATTCTTATATGTTAAATGATTTAATAGAGAATAAAAGCATATAAAAATGTTCTTATACGGAGAATTTTTTTTCGTAAAGAATCGACAACTTCTGTGGGTCGTCCAGAAAAATGTCCACCTGCGTACAGCTTTAGCGTTTGTGCGATTTGAAAAGGTATGATAATTAATAATATAAATTCGTGCAATCGATTACAAGTAAAATAATGAATGACTATTAACGGTTATTAAATCGATTTGAAATTTACGGGAATTTCACGAATCGAAATAACCTTAACATCATGAACGGCACTGTTCAATGAAATAACATTATTAGATACGTAAACCTAGAAACCTGTGCCACTGGTAAAAACTCTCTTAGCACCGCCACGCAAGCTGTCAACAACCAAATCAAAACGTTGGTGATTAGAGTGAAATTTTTTTCAAGTAGAAAGAAAAGTACCTGATATATTATATATACAGGGGCGAAAAATTTTCAATGGACTATTTTTCCAACGCTTTGCACTATAAATCTAATAACAATCAATCTCTAGGTCTAAGATTACGCAAATTATATGATCAACTCATCAAAAATCAATGAATTTTTTAATATTCTCATTATTATCATTTATTTATTTTTGATGAGCCTTTCTACTCCACTTGAAATTCATTGATGAAGCAATTTTTTTATGGCACAAACAGCCGGAGAAAAATAAACCTAAATTTACAACAAAAGAAATTATTTTTTCATTAATCAATTTAGATGGAGTCCTCCCTCCTACCTCAAATGGCGTGCAACTTCTATTAAGACTAAGCCATTAAAAGCTATGAAAATGAATTAACAATGCTGATATGCACTCCACAATTAATGAGATGAATAAGATGAAACAAGGCTTCCGTCCTGGCCTTTTGTGAAGCTGTCGAAACCTCCTTTAACGTGAGTCTGGGCGGCACCATGTCCAACGGACACGTCGCCTCCACTGTGCACAACGCTTGTGCTGACCGCTGGGGCGCCGTATGAGACAGATGGCGTTCCGTACGAAATGGACGGTGGTCCGTAAGAGATGGACGGCTTACCAACACTGACAGACGATACGGAGTGCGATACTGCTGGCACTCCGTAAGAACTAGTCGGAGATTTGATGGCAGCGGCAGAAGATTTGAAAGAACCTCCTAGAGGTGAGCCAAGAGAGCCCTTTCCATGACTGAATCCACTTTCAAAACCTTTACTGAAGTCTCCGGTGACGCCTTTGCTGAAACCAGAGCTGAAACCACTACCCTTGCCGAAACCACTACTGAAACCACTGCCTAGACCGCTGCTGAAGCCACTACTGAGGCCACTACTGAACCCGCTGCTAAGTCCCTTACCATGTCCAATGCCACTGCTGACGATTCCAGAACTGATGCCAGAGCCGACAATGCTACCGCCTCCATATCCTGAAGTAATACCAGTGCTCCCGAGGCCTAGTCCTAGTCCTCCAAAGCCACCACCAAGTCCACCTAATCCAGCTCCACCGTAGCCACCGCCAAGCCCACCTAATCCAGCTCCACCGTAGCCACCGACAAGTCCACCGCCTCCAAGTCCCCCAAACCCAAGGCCGTAACCTGAAGACAAACCGTGACCTAGCCCGTATCCCCCTCCAAAAGATCCGTAGCCACCGCGGAAACCACTACCGTAACTGGATGCTAGACCGCTGAAAGATCCCGGCAGACCGTAACCGGGAACAGGACCGTAAGGTACTTGGTAGCCCTTAGCCTTGTTCATGTAGAGTGGATTCTGGACGACCACGATGGGGTCGTTTTGAACTCCCGCAGCTTCATCGTCGTAGACTAAAAAAAATAAAAGATTTTTTAGAGCTATGGACCAGAAGAGTTGAGTTTAACATGGCTAATGAATAATTTGGATAAACTGAAAACGATTAAAGAAGCGAATGAATAAAAAGCTGCTGTACGCAATGAATGAAACAAACATATTAAAAATGCGCAATGAATCAAATATCTAATAAATAAAAACTTTTGAATGAAGAAAAAGCTTAAAATAGACGCAATGAAAATTTTATATCGGTATATAGTTATGACTAAAATCATAAAATTTGTTTTGATAAAATTGAGCGCTTTTAAGGTCGTCAGTAAATTATTCAGTGTTAACTATATGTTGAAAATTTCCATGCTTTTTCGAACAAGTCCGATAACAACTTGGTTGATCTGTTCACATCAATACCAGGAAGGCATAGTCAATGAGAATGCCATAGGAATTGTAATAAGAATGAATGAATTGTAACAAGAGAATGAATTATAATAAGTACAATAGTGCGGAATTTTTCCCCTTTAAAATAGCTTTACACATCTTTGGCATTGCATCGAAATTTGTAAAACTGTAAAAAACCCACATGTTTGAAATTTTACGCAGATAAAAATTTCTCAGAACTTACAGTATCCGGCTACTCCTTTGAAGGCCTTATCGAAGCCACCCTTGATGGTGTCCATGCCTGACTTGAGTCCCTTGGACATCTTGCTGCCAAGGCCCTCGTCGTAGTAGTCGTAGTCGTAGTCATTGCCCAGGGACACAACAACCTGCGGAGGAATGCCGTACCCTTTGGAGACGGGCGCCGCAGCTACAGGGGCGACAGGCGCGACAGGGGCGGCCGCTTGTGTGGCCACGATAGGTCGCGCTAATCTGTAGGGCGCGCTGCCGTACGCTGCTGCCACGATGGGCCGAGCTACCGCCACGTTGCCTGATCAACAGAAATAATCTTTGGGATGGAATTGGGTGAGGTTGAGGACAAATGACTCGTGAGATTAAGTATAAATAAAGGAATACGCTAATATTAACAATTTGTTACGAAGGTGGATGCATCAATCAAACGCAGCGAGATATTGATTGGAATAAATTCAAATTGGTTTGAATTTTATATATATATTTTTCTAAATCTTCATTAGTGAACATTATGGAAACAAAACTACTATATTTTATCGAAACAGGAAGTAAGCAAGAACTAACATCCCGGACTTGCCGAATGTAATTTAGGAAATCTTCTGTCAAGTCATTCCAATCATTAAAATTTTAATCTACGAGTATAAAAACATGAATGACTAAATTTTCTAGCGCTTCCGCTCAATTCTCACTTCCGTATCCTCCGAGGCCATAACTGCTGCCGATTCCGAGACCACTTCCAAGACCGTAACTGCTGCCGATTCCGAGACCACTTCCAAGACCGTAACTGCTGCCGACACCAAGACCACTTCCAAGACCGTAACTGCTGCCGACACCAAGACCACTTCCAAGACCGTAACTGCTGCCGACACCGATACCCTTTCCAAGACCGTAGCTGCCAAGTCCGTAACTGCTACCGATGCCGAGTCCACTTCCGAGGCCGTAAGCGCCTCCGTAAGTTCCACTAGATGCGAGAGCATATGCACCGCCGTAAGATCCTCCAAGGCCGCCATAAGCGCCGCCGTAAGATCCTCCAAGGCCGCCGTAACCCAGCGCGTGGCGAGCCGTAATTGGAGCAGCTTGGATTACGGTGGGTGCGCTGGCGTAGCCGTCACCGCCGTAGTCGTCGTAGGAGTTGTAGGACATGTAGTCGGAGACTGCGGGTAAGGAGCGGTTACAATGAACTAGGTTTTCATCTACGGCAGTAAAATTTTTGTTTTGTTAATTAAGGTAATTCTTGACGATTCAAATGGTGGCATTATAATGTTATTGTCATATTATTGTTATCAATAATTGAGTGGCCAAATATAAATTTATGTAAATAATGAGCTACCAAATTATAAAATAAACAATGAGTGACAAAATTTGTTCATACATGCGCCTGAAAAAAATCACGATGTCTATGATTAACAAGTAAGCGAAATGGACTATGCCATACATTAAAAAATTTTGCTATTATCTCATTGCCAATAAATGCAGGTTAACCTCGCTTATGGCAATATTTGCTTGCATTTTTTGAAAAAGATCATTGATGAAAAGAAAAAAAAAATTAAAATTTAGAATATATTACAAGCAATAATGTAGCAGGAAAATCAGTATAATTTTCAGTGGAAGATGAATCCCGATTCATACACAGTAAATTGAGTAAAAAGAATGACTGCACTGCGCTCGTCTGGCTAGTTACATTTGATGCAGTTTAAATACTGAAATCGAACCAAATATCCAATTTTAATTGTTTTTCATTCTTGTCTATCAGTCTGATAGATGGATTGCCAACACCAATTCAAATCTATATAATAATATTATCATTTATACGAGTACTCACAAAATTGTCCCACGGACTTGATGCCTTTCTCCATCCGGCCGAATAATCCGCCGCCGCCCTTTCCTCCTCCCTTTCCTTTGCCACCATAATCGTAGTCGTACCCGTAGTCGTATCCTCCGTAGTCCAAACCGTAGTCATCGTAATAGTAATCCCCACCCTTGCCTTTACCGCCGCCTCCTTTACCACCGCCTAGTCCTCCTTTCCCACCGCCTAGTCCTCCTTTTCCTTTGCCTCCTCCACCGCCGCCTCTTACTGTTTTCACGTACAGAATTTGGGGCTGTTGACCGTATCCGTATCCTGCGGCATATCCTCCGCCGTATCCTAAACCGCCATAACCACCGGCCCCATAAATTGGCTGGTACGGTCCTTGGTCAAATTGTGGTCCGTGGTAAGCATGCAGAGGGGCCACTTGAGCACCGAAAGGGTCATACCCTCCAGCCCCGAGGAAATTATGAGGTTGCGGACCAACGGGGTACGAGCCTTTGCTATCCCCTGCTGTAGCCAGCGCTGCTATGCAGCTCAGCAACACCTGCGAAATACGCAATATTAAAAAATTGCTGTTTATTTAAACGAAAGTTTGAATGAAAGATTCACGAAATGAAAACTATTAATTGAAGAAGGCGAAAAATACAATACTATCGGAGTGGAGCTATTTTTGTCAATAGACAATAGATAATTAACAAAATTTGAAAATTCAAAGAAATACGCAGTCAAGAGGGCATCTTTCTTGGTTTAATCTGGCATTTTCGTTGAGAATCATAATATTGTAGTTTAGTTTAGTATCCCGTTGTGTGCAATCTAATTCTCGTGTTTACTACATACGTATATATTGAGAGGGCATTTTCTTCACCTGATGTACTAATTTTGGCATGCGAGTTCATTACGTCTGGTGTTTTGTTTTCTTGGCACCCTAATCTTTGCTTTAGTCAATTGCATAAATTTCTTGCAGATTTGTCTTACAAACATCACCAACAGTGTTTTAGCGGCTTATTTTAAACGTCAATGAAAGTCTTCTGGAGAAACAAAAAACTTTACTGGAAAGTGCAAGCTAATCAATTGGTCCCGACATTTTATGTTGAGTTCTTCAATGGTGAGAAACGTACTAATAATTCCATGAATGTTCACCGGTAGTCAAAAGTTCATCTGCCCGAGTTTTCTAAGACATAAAAAAGTTGAGTGCTCGGCCATGCCTTTCTCTGCAGCAGGAACCTCATTGTTAACTTTCACCAAGTCCTAAAAAACTCCTGGACCCAAAACAACATATCAGGCTTAAGAAAAACTGGTCTATTTATCCAGGAGAAGTCAAAGGTATACCACTACATCAAGAGCATCGCGCACTTTCCATTCCTATTCAGGATATACGCAACTCACATACGGTCTACAGCCGTCCAATAGAGGTGGACACTTGAGGTTATAGGCATGAATATTAAAATTACTAGATTTCTTAAATCGCAGGTTTATCAGGAAATTAAAAGCAAAGAAAACAGCCAGAATATTAACCATTTCTTAAGAATAAAAACGTTTCGCAGTCCAGTTCCATCGTCATTTCAAAATTTATAAGCATGATAATTTGTATCAGCCTGATGCTGTCATTACTTCATTTTGAGTTGCAAAGTTGCGTGTCAAGCTTTTTCACTGAAATCAACCATACCGATCTTCTGCGGTCGGCACGATTTTCAACCCAAATATTTGGAGACCCAAAGATGGATTTCTTCCTTACTTTCTTGTTGCCAAGAATTAATCCGCCATACATGACATCATTCAATCATCCTTCAATCTTACCTCAAGACAGAAACTAGAGGTAAAAGTCAATCTTAAACGTTTGACGTTTATGAAATCAAATTGAGTTATAGTGATACTTCTGAACTGCATCCGTCGAATGGGGAGAATTATTAATTTTATTGTTACTTTGTAGCATTGCATCCGATTTTAATCAACTTCCTGGCAACCTAAATATTTTCTAATATTTTTTTGTATATCTGGAACCCTATCAGCCTGAGGGGTCGCTTAACGAACGAAGTTGAAAAGCACGAACGGATATTTTACATAATTATTTAGTAGTTTTTCAAGATGTCACATCCGCACATTATCTACCTACACTCGTTCGTAATAAATCAAATTCATCCACTACTCAAAATAATACACTTTTAAGAAGAATTTAGCCATTCTATGTTAATTTTATTTTTATGTGTACAGTAAATTGAATAACTTCGATTTTGATTTCTTGAGCCTCAAGTAGAATAGGATTTGCTATAATTCTGCCAGCACTGAATGCGTATGATCCTGGGACCTATTGTTTCAAATTAACGTAATTCAACTTTTTCATCTCAGCGGAATGCTGTGAGCAAATTGGGCTACGAAATTCACAATTCTAACATATGACTGCGATGTTTCATCATTCCATCATAGTTCGAAATAATAATTTTTCTGCGTTTTCTCTTGTTAAAGATGTCTTTTAAGGAATTATATTATAATCGCGTGTTTTCCAAGTGCAGCCTTTCACGACATTATTTATTTTGCATCTGTTTGTCTTTTTACCAACAAAAAATTTTCATCCGATTATTCCTTGATAGAAAAGACTCCTTGATGCATTCCTATCACACGACAATAAAAATTTCTCCATTAAGGAGCAACTAACGCCATCTGTTGTGGTACACAGCAGATAATAGTCAGAGCAAGAATTGTCACTCAGCCTGCTGCTTATGATTCAGCCTTGCGGGCGCAATTCTACTTAGCCGACGCCTAGTTTTAGAAATTGATCGAAAAAAACCTTGCTGGTTACAGCTGTCCAAGAAGAAAGATTTGCTCACACGAGTTTCGTCTGTAAAGGGCACAATGCGGTGAACCAAGGCAATGTGGCGTGCTTGGTATTTGGAAGCTTTCGCCAAATACTTCGATTTTACTTTCCATGAGAGCTTCCTTCTCTGATTGCCTGCCAGTCGCGATGACTGCTTAGAAAAAGGAGATTTAAATTTTTACATTTATTGTGACATTCTGAAGGGAAAATGAAATGTGAATGGAAAATTTCTGTTTTAGCATTCAATTTTGAACATAATGTTTTCCTTACATTGGATTAAGAAACATAAATCATAAGTATGTGTGTACATATAAATGAAATCCAATGCAGATATGCAGAAAGAATTGTATAAACAAACTCAGAAGTTAAATCATTCAACAAAGGGAATGAAGATTTCTTAATTTTCCAGTCACGTTTTCTTTCCCTCATAAAGTGTTTAATTTATTAAGAAAATTATTTATTTCCAGGCTTAACTGTATAGGGATCCATTCTGTAACTGGTCTTAACTGTATATGCTAACAATTTCGACTTGGTGAATCGTCCAGTCCTTCCATCCAACAAACGCATCTGTGCAATGTGATGGAGTATTGCTGCCATTCAAAGTTATGCCTAAATTCCTATGCCCATGTATATTTAGGAATAACTTGGCTGTATAATAATGTAATAATGGCTGTAATTAAAGCCCATGTTTAATTACAGCCGTGTTCCACATAACAGAACCTTTCTGTAAACATTCCCTCTGAAGAAATATACTGCATGGGACAGAGAAAGAAGAACGCCGGATATTGGATCCAAAATTTATTTATATGTGGAGTTGTACGTGTGGGGATAATTGTAGGATCCACACTAAAAAATATGGCGAACATGTAAGGTTTATTGACGAAAACCTGTTCAAAATCAATACAGAAATGAGCGATTTGAGTCTCAGAGATGTTAAATTTCAGTTCCATTTTACCATGTCCGGTTTTGAGTACCCGTAATTGAGATACAGTGTATAAAACAGAGGCTCGAATGAGTTAAATTTGATCGAAAAATTGTATAACAATGGAGTAGAACAGCTGCTTTGTCTCGTTTATGTTTATTTGCTCAGAAAAATCGGAAAGTCATGCAAAAAGAGTCGGTGGAAGTTTTGAGATGCCTCAGAAAAGGAGTCATGATCGATCATTATTTTCTCTGCGTTGCAGTTTCTAACGCCTCTGCAAATTCACTCAAGCTGTCGCAGCTGCCATGTCTTTCCTTCATTCTTCCTAAAATATCATTAAGATCGAAATTATTAGACTTCGTTGATCACTATATATTAATCATATATTACTATTCGTTAGTCATAATAGACTTTCCACATATTATTATTTATTCTAATATATGGCTTAAATTAGATGTAGTACGTCGAAACTGGGAAAAGTGGCAGTATAGTTTACGCAAGGTGGTACAAGAATTCAAACACCGGTAAATTTCACTTGATCGTAATTCTGCTGGCGATGAAACCTATTCTGGCAACTCGAGTGATTTTTAGTTTTCTGATGTGTTCCTGTACAAATTTATTTGCATGATTAAAAAAATAATTCATGTTCGGGATAAATTTGATGAAAATGTCAACTGATATCATATTTGCACCATTGACATGCAAAAAATATTAAAAGTGTACGCATTTAATGCCGTGACGAAACAAAATATAAAAATAAATTAATATTTATTCTTCATTGCATTGTTGGCCCCTGGCAAGTGAAGCTTGATGATTTAGTTTCAAGAGGAAATGAGATGGAAGATAATTAAATGGTTGTACTAAGGTAAATCTAATTCAGACGAGACAAGGAGCTTAATCATTGTACTGTCAAATTTGCCTCGATACCGCTGACACCTCAAGCTCGGTTTTTATTTCTATTTTATAAACACGGAACCACAGCGCCGGAAAGCACAACTTATTTCTAATATTGAGGCGTTAGGGATGACTCAACAAGGTAGCCATCGTGAAGTGTTTGACCGCAGGGAATAGAATGATCGGTTTTCCCGGCCTTCCTTGCTTGCGCCGGCGAGACTTTCCTAACCCAAGCTTTACCGAGGTGACTTCACTTCCGCCCTATGATCTCGTTTGGAATTCTATGAAAAACATGATCAACAGATTTGTACCCCCACACAGATTAAATCACGCATGTTGGATGTAATACATAGCATCTATTAGAATATTTTCAATCGAGGAGTCAAAAATAGTACGAACATGGAAAGATCATTATATGATAAATTTTTGTCGAAATTTTCTAATTCCACACCTTTTGCGAGCTATTAACACAGTTGGCTGCTAATATCTTTTATAATAATTCACTCTAAAGACAATTCCTCTGCAATGGTGAGTTTCTTAACCTATTCATGCTGATTCCTTTAATTTATCTTCTATAAGGTTGATAGCAGAAGCGGTGGAAGGTTAAAGCAAAACTGTGCAAGGGGAAAGGCATCGTTTGCACTTCACTTCAGCCATTGAGCAACAAGCGCCGGTAGCAGAAGCCGTCGACGCAACATGGCATAATCCTCGTCCGCAAGCCTTTGTTCTGTAACGCTTCGCATTTTACGTTACTTTTCAGTGCACACAATACACGTTTTATTACTGGGATCCTGTACGTCGGGATATTCTACTTATAACATTTTCTGCAAATGTTACATTAATCTCATATCTAAGATTTGCACGCCTGATGTCGCGGTACGTCTTTAACGCAATCAATTATTTAAAATATTGAAGG